GTTGTTTTTGGCGGAGCTCCCTACTAAACTTCCACCCGATCCACCATCTTGTTTGTTCGGCCCCCTCATCTTACTTTCTTGTTACCACCACCAACTCCTTCATGGGTCCTACCACCGCCCACTTTTGGAACTCCATCAGGGTCTGGGATTTAGGATCTGACTGTGTATACAGCAAGGCATCTGAGATCAAGATAGCCTTGTAAGGCATCTTTACTAAATACTTAACACGTACACGGTTCCAGGTGGCTAATTAGAACGTCTAAGCGCAATCCTTGCTTCAAGCAGAATGAGACCTCCACTCATGAGTCTCATGCCTGACTTTGTGGAACCTTCTCCACTCTTTGTGATTCTCAGTGCTAGTTTATTCCAGGGCTGGGGAGGGTAGTATGGGGCTGGCACTGGAGCTATACAGGGATGACCTTGATTCTCCAACTTTTCCCGCCCCCTCCACCCCCCCCAACCCCATTCCCTCCCCTCCTCTGCTCTGCAGCGTGGCCAAGTGCCTGGGTGCGAAGACAGTGGCCAAGGGGGCTCTAGCGTGCACGAAGGAATTCACCATCCTGTCTGAGGTGGTGGAGGATGTGGAGGCCGTGGATGCTGTGCAGCGCTTCCTGGGTGAGTGAGCAGAGCCCCTGCCTGGGGTCAGAGAGCCTCTAAATTTCTCACTCATCTTTATCCTCAGCACCTGGTGCAGGGTGGGACGTGTAGTAGTTACAAAATAAGTGCACACTGAGGTGATGGAAAGGTGGATGGAGTGAGGAAGGAGCGTATCCTGCTGTCTCTAGTCTTCAGGATATTGCACATGCTGTTCCTCCCTTCAACATGCCTATCCCTGGCCCTGCTGTAGTACTGTAAGATAAGCACTAGACTGCTAACTGCAAGGTTGGCAGTTCGAACCCACAAGCCACTTCTTGGAAACCCTATACAGGGTTGCTATAAGTCAGAACCAACTTGATGACATTAACAACAAGGTATACTCTGCTTCTTCCAGGAAGCCCTCCCTGCCTGGATTTGAGGGCTCCCATGTACCAGCCCATCTGTTGTTCATAACTATCTGAGTCTTAACTGTCTATATGTCACTAGACTGTGAGCTCTGTGAGGTGGGGACTCATGTGTTGTCTTGACTATTGTGTCTCCAGGGTCTTCCTAGTATAGGGTATGGCAGAGAGTAGGGCTTGGAAAATATTTGCTGAATGAATGTATGAGTGAGTGGAAAGGATAGATGGATGTGGATTGAAGAGTGGATAAATTGATGGGGTCATGGATTGGTGAATGATAGAGAAATGGACAGATGGATGGATCTATTGATTAATGGACATATTGATGAATAGATAAACAGTCAAACGACAGCTAAGGGGATGGATGGGTGGAAGAATGGACAACATTGATTGATGGACACATTGATGGATGGACTGACAGTCTAATGATGGATGAGGATGAATGGATAGATAGATGGGCAGATTGATGGATGGGCAGAAAGTCAGACATATGATGGATAGTGAGATGAATGGATGAATGAATGGCTAGATGGATGGATGCATGGATGATGGATGGATGGATGGATGGATGGATGGATGGATGGATGGATGGATGGATGGATGACTTCATGGACTTGTGGTGACCAGACCTGCTGAGCAGTAACTGATTCTTTGTCCCTTTTTCGCCTCTCCCCCACCCCTTCTTGGGCAGATGATGAACGTATGTTGGTGGAGCCTGCCTGCGGGGCAGCCTTGGCTGCCATCTACTCAGGTGTCCTGGGACGACTCCAGTCTGAGGGCCGCCTCAGCCCCTCACTGGCCTCGGTTGTGGTCATCGTGTGTGGAGGCAATAGCATTGATAGTCAGGGGCTCCAGGCCCTAAAAGCCCAGTTGGGATAGAGCTAAGGGATCTGGCTAAGGAGGGCGAGTCAGGCCCAGGAACCCCCAAGGCTCATGGTAATCCTTGTAGCTGGCTGAGAGGGATGTCTGAGCTGGCAGACAGCAGCGGAAGCATCTGTGCTTCTATGCCAGCCACCTCCTATAGGAAGCCCTCCTGAACACTCCATTTGGGTCTGCTTCAGCCCTGGCTAATAAATCCTTTCTGAGTTGAGTGTGTAACTCCTGTGGATCTAGTCTTTCCATGAACTTGTAGAAGGTGCACACACACGATCACAGAGGCAGGCTCTGTGATAAAGTGACTTCACTTCAGGTGGCACAGGTTGACCTCAAAGGCTTGAAAATCCTTATTTGCCAAAGGAACCCAGCCATACTGAATGCCTACAAGGACTTCCCTTATCTTAGTCCCTGCTCAGGTTGGCCAGGCCTGTCACTTTGCAGACCTGGGTAGCCAAGGACAATGATCACCAGTGGTCATCGAGGGCTTGCTATGTGCCAGAAGTTCTACCAAGAGCTTTCTGCTTGTTGCCTTCTTGAATGTTCCAAAAGGTACTTGAAGTAGGAACCATTATTATTATCCCTTTAACTTATGAGGAAATTGAGGCATAGGTTCTGTAACTTGCCTGAGACCCAGCCAGGGTTCAAACTCTGCCAGCTTCAATTCACTCTGGTGCATTGACTTCGGCTTTCTTGGTGTGGGGTGAAGTGGTAGTGGGACATTGGGAGTAGGACCCTAGGTCAATTGGACACACCTGTGGGTCACACAGTGCGGTAGGTCCTGGGTGTGGCTTTAAGCCTCTCCCATCTCTGTGAAGCGCTGGTTGTCTAATTGGTTACAAATTGAACCGCTAAATGCAGGGTGAGCAGTTCAAATCTACCGGCTGCCCCATGGGAAAAACTCGAGGGTTTCTGCTCCCGTAAAGATTTACAGCCCCAGAAACCCTATACAGGGTATCCATGAGTCAGAATCAATTCTAGGCACACAACCACGGGTACCACCATCCCAAGGAATGAGATGGAAAATTAGAATCTTTGGGAGCCACAAGGGGGCAGCAAAGCGTCTTCTATGGGAAAGACTGGCTCCAGGCAGAAAGGCCCTCCCCTTGGGTCTTCCTTTCCTCTCTCCTCCCTGGGGTCTTCAACCCAGGTAGTGGAGCTGAGGTCTACTGGCCTGGGGTGGAGAAGGCTTGTCCAACTCCTCACTGTCCTTTTGGGAAACAAGACAACAGAGAGTGTGTAACCCATCCAGGGCCACACAGTCTATCAGAGAACCTAGGTCCTGTCCAGAATCCTCTCTTCTGCCTCATGCATACTGTGTGATCACAGTCAAATGCACTCCCTTCTCTGTGCTATCCCTTCAACCTCCTTTCCTTTGCCCAAACTGCTCCTTCCACCAGGTACCACCTCACCTATGTGGATGGTTTGACCTTCTTCTGCATCTCCCAGATCTCTTGGTTCACTCTCTCTTTGACCCCAAACATAGCCTTCAAATACCTGAGTTCCAGTCAGGGTTCCTTGAGGTTGTATGGTGTGAATTCTCCAGGAGAGGCTAAGAGCCCCAGAGCTGGACTCAGCCAGACCTGAGCCTCAACTCTGATCCAACTTAAGAGCTGCTGGCCATGAGCAAATGAAGTGTCTCTTAGTGCCTCAGACTTCTCATCTGCAAAGTGGGTTGTTTCAGGATCATTACTGTGGACCCAGCATATGTAGTTTACCAATATATGTTATTGTGGGTTGCGCCAAGTCCACGCCCTACTCATAACAACTCCATGCACAATAGAATGGAATACTGCTCAGTCCCACATCAACCCTGTGAGCAGTTGGAGATCTGACATTGTGAGCCATCATAGGATTTTCATTGGCTGCTTTTCGAAAGTAGATTGCCAAACCTTTCTTCCTAGATCATCTTAGTTCTTACTATTTCCTGAGCTCTCCTCCCCCAACAGTAGGGAGTATGGGAAGGAACTAGAAATTATGGAACATACACTGTATGCTATAAAGAGCCCTAGTAGCACTATAGGATAAGCACTGGACTGCTAATCACAAGATCAGCAGTTCAAATCCACCAGCTGTTCCTTGAGAGAAGAATAAGATGTTCTACTCCTGTAAAAATTTACAGCCTCAAAAACTCTATACAGGGGTCACTGTGAGCCAGAAACTAACTTGATGTCAGTGGGGTACTATGATCTATGGAGTTGACTAGTCATTTCATTGAATCCCCACAATAACTCATGTGGAAGATACTATTATTTTCCTCATTTTACAAATGAGGAAAGTGAGACTGAACAACTTAACTCCAGGCCATGCCACTAGACTGGTATATAAAATACAGAGGCATGTGTGTGACCACTCTGTTCTGTGCCTTGCTTTTGCTCAAGCCTCATCGCTGCCTGTGTTGCCCTCTATGCTTCTAAACTCTACACACTCTTCAGAGCCCAGTATGAGGGTAGCCTTCTCTAGGAAGCCTCCTTGAATTACCTTAGCGAGTGATGCTCTTGCCCCCAGCTCAGTTGAGTGATAGAGCACACCCGCGTCCCAGGTGCTCTGCCCACGGCCTCACCTTGTTGCCTGCCCTCCTGGGAGCCTTCTCAGCTGCTGTTTGTCCCTCTCCTGCTCTTAGCAAGGGGGAGATAAGAAGCTGAGGGGCTGTTGACCATGTCCAGATAACACAGGTCAGTGAGCTTAACTTGATCTTTCCTGGTGGCTCCCAGGGCACATGGATATCAGGCAGACACGCACGGGGAGAGAGAAGAGATGAACTGTAGACTTGATGTAGCAGGGGGCATTGAGGGTCTTGAGACACCACTTGGTCTCCTGGGAGTTTTCAACTGGGAGACTGGGGAGTTGAGGAGGAGGGCCGTGGAGCAGGGGCCTCCTGTGTTTGTCTATGCTGCTTGGAGAACACCTGCAAACTCGGCTGCCAGGTGTGTGTACCTGCCTGAGATATGCGCTACCTCCCTTCCCTCCTCCAGCTGGGGCCACTTTCTGGATCCCTGCGAGTTCTACCACCTGAGGCTCCTAAGACCCCTGCTTCCTGGGGCTTTACCTCACCCAGCCCTTCACCCCAGCCATAGCACCAACATGACCAGGAGGTGTGGAGTCCAGCCCAGGCAGGGCAGGAACATGGGACGGGAGTCTAGAGTCAGACAACTGCTGCCCCTCCTCCACAGCCTGGGCCAGTGGCAGGCCTACTATAGAACATCCACCTCATCACATGCTGACCCTCGTGTTCGGAAGTACCGGCTAGACTGCCTTGTCATCCCAAGTTGTGTGTTTGGGGGGGAGGGATTGGGTGTGTGTCTGCATGCATGTGTGTTCCATGTATGTGCATGTGGGATAGGAGAGTGTATTCACACTCAGTTGTTTTTCATGGAACAAACCAGCTCATGGTAACCCCATGTGTGTCAGTGGAGAACTGTGCTCCGCAGGATTTTCAACAGTTGAGTTTCTGGAAGTAGATTACCAGGCCTGTCTTCCAAGGTACTCTGGGTAGACTTGAACCTCCAACCTTGAGGTTAGTGACTGAGCACGTTATCCATTTGCACAACTCAGGGATTAACTGAGCGACACATAAAGGCAGCCAGCCTCCTGGCCTACAGGTAGGAAAGCTCTGGTGCTATTCCTGATCCAGAGCCCCTTGTGGGATTTAACTAGGGTCAGGCTCTACCCAAACTGTGCCTGTGCCCAGCTTCCCTGCTCCTCCTGGTCTCACCTCCTACCCTACCCCCGCCCCCCCAATAAATCACGTGCTCAGAATTCCCATCTCCAGTGCAGCTTGTCGAACCCAGCCTACCTGGACCCTCTCTCCTGTCTCCCCTTGTCCCATTGCCCTGTCCCTTCCTAGTGTTTGTGCTTTTTAAACTCTACCAAAAATGTCACCGGCAGGTTTCTTGCCCTGCTTCCAAACTCCCTGATAAATTCCACTGGCTGGGCGACCCCAGGAGAGGTTTTCTGGAGCAAGGAACCCCATAAATCACCCTGCTGTCACTCCAGCGTGGGCAATATCTTATGTAAAAAGGTGTTTCCTGGGAACGCCACAGGCAGGAGAATCCTATTACAAGCCGCCCCATTAATTATAAAGAGTCAAGTCGACCCTTTCCTGCAATTTTTTATCTTAAGTCCGAAAACTGATTACCTTCACCAATTCTTCCCCTTCCAAAAAAAAAGGAAAAGAAAAAACCCGAAAGAATAAAATAAATGTTTGAACAAAACAAATGCCAAAGTTTCCCCATTTAGGGGCGAACAAGTGGGGAGAGTGAGTAGAAATGGCTGTTTTCTTTCTTTCTTTTAACACAGAACTGATTGTTTGTTGTCTCTCCTGGCCTCCTCAGTCCTTGGAGGTGGGTGCCATTAGACCCATATGACAGGTGAGGGAAATTGAGCTTCGTCTGAAGTTATATGGTTTGTGCTTCTGAGATGATGGGCCCTTTGCCATGGAGTTGACTGTGAATTATGGCCACCTGTGTGCATCAGAACAGACTTGTACCCCATTGGGTTTTCAGTCTTTGGTTGATTTTTCAGCAATAGATTGCCAGGACTTTCTTCCAAGGTACCTCTGGGTAGACTTGAATCTCCAATCAGCTGCTGAGCACATTAACTGTTTGCACCACCCAATGACTCCTCTGAGATTCTGGGGGTGGAGTAGAAAGCAATATGGGTTCAATCCTCATCTGCTGCTTCTAGTGAGGGCTACAAGTAGGTGAATTAACCCTCTGAGCCTCAGTTTTTTCTTCTGCAAAACGGGAAACAAAAACATCTCTGGCAAGATTCCATGGAGAAGATGGGCGCTCATGGATACCAAGGACACAAATCAGTAATGTCCCTCACCAGGTCTCCCCAGAATCTCACTGCTGCTCATCCTGAGGCTGTATATGCCACCCGGCCAACTTCCCCACCGGAAGCCAGAGTCATCTAAAACAAGTCTGAGGGAGGTCTTTGCAAGCCCGTGCTGAAACCCTCCCCCAACATCCATTGCATTTAAGTTAAAGGGCCAACCTCTCATC